ATTCTGTAATCGTGAACAATAGAAATGCGTAACTACGTTGTACTTCTCCAGCTTTTACAACGTTAAAAAAGGGCGCACAAACCGGCCAGGAACATCGCAGCGACGATCCACTACTTTTAGATTTCAGACAATTATCGCGTGGCTGCGTGTACTTGTGAACGCATGCGCAGTCGAAAATTGTTAACCAAGGTTACGAAACTTCAAATGTTACCAACCGCAATTCTTTATAAATATATATATTATAATTAAATCTTTTATATCGCAATTCCCGACAAGTGTTCTGTAAATTCGCTATGCTGTTACAATTGTTTAAGTTGAAGCTTAAAACAGTACACGATCGAAATCAAATCATCAGTTTGATAAGCATACGGTGTTTTCTAAGAAATGTGTGCTCGAAGAGAGAATGTGTACATTCGTCCTCAACGATTTCGTGCGGACTACTTCACACCGCATACGTGGGTGTAGTTGACTTACTGACACATATAGGTACTGTAAATCACTATTGAGTAATTTAAAGAACCATCCACGACCTATCAACTCACCAACGATTGCCGCTGATTAGAGCTCCTGCTTTTATACTCTATCACTATGTACGCGAAGTTAGTCTCTACAGAACCTTCGAAGCTGACTGTACAAGCAATTCCTTTCAATTCCTTCAAACGTGCATCTTGCACCTGATTGCACGTCGAATGCTTAATTATTTACTAACGACGTGAACAGGAGCAGTAAGCGGAATCGAATGGATTGCGTGTGCTGTAACTAACAATTAAGTTCTATGATCAATGAAATAAAAAGATGAACGGATCAATAATAAAATTGCACTGGGCATTATTCACACCAAACATTGTAGGTGAAGAATCGTGTAATATTCTTAACTTCGGCAAGCGGCTGATATAAAATATAAGATCCTTGAAAAATAGGGAAGAGAAAGTGAAATAATTTCATTAGAAAATTCTTAGTTAATCGGTGTACTGTATGTCAAATAAAAAGATTGCACTGCAATTGAATATATAAATAAATACGATAGCTTTTCTTCCTCCGTGTTGCTATATTACGTACTTACATGTACTTATAAGGTAAAGACCGCTTCCTTTCATTCATGATACGAAGTTGGTATCGACATTTGCAATTCAAATGTGAAATATTTCTTTCTATTAATAATTCCAAACTTCCAAACAGTATAGAAATACAGAACTTATTTATAACGTTATAATATCGCGCTAAAAACAATAAAAAATTGTATTTTCTTTAAAACATTGGACACCCATATGTACAGATTATGTAATATATTTGTATAGACTTACCAGTTTATGTAATTCTATTTAATGCAACAAATAAAAGTTCAAATCTAACGTAATCAATATGGAAGTTATCAACATTCAACGCGACATTTATCTGCGAAATTATGTCTGTTTTAAGTATAAACGATATGATATGAACAGTAAGAATGAAAACTAGCAGTTACTGGTTACAGTTGTACAATATCTATTCATTTACCATGCGAAGTAACCATCTTTTAAACAACTATTTGCAATTTTAAAACACAATTGGAAGCCCGGTGGCTCTAAGAAGAATATAGTCGGTCGTGAGTAAATTACCTCAAAGGTGCGCACGCATCCAAGACAGCCAGGGTAGACTGATGAAAATATGACTATTCCTCCGCGAACTGTCGAAGTGTACACAGGTTGTGCCGTAATCTGAACGGAATTTTTAAGAAAGGACGCGCACAGATTTTCACACCGTTTGCTCACATCACGGTTCCCCGTGTTATTCTTTCTTGTTCTCCACGAAGTGATTGATACATTAAGCGTCAAAAATGGTATCTGGCGGGATGGCTTGTATCAAATACCTGACGTTCCTTTTCAACCTAATATTTGCGGTAAGTATACTCCATGTTGCGTTCGTTACCTTGTACCTATTCTTTCCTACAAGCTTCGAGCTTATTCTGTGCCAACGTTACCTACCCCCTTCGTTTATACGTTTATTTTGTTGGTTTCGATTTTAAACGGATCCATTCAAAATACCTATCTTTAACTAAGAAGCGTCGTACTCGCAATCGATTTTTCAACGACAGGACATATTAAATCATTTAAAAGTTATTTTCGGCTACGTTTACAATGTTAAAAATCTTCTCGATGACAATGTGACCATGTTTATCACGCTATATATATCCATTCTGTGATAACTTTTTGTTAAACCATCGCTAAATCAAAACTTTTCATTTTTAAATTTGTGATGTGGAGCAGGAATCACGTATACGTAGGTGTATTCTGTCTTGCCTTCTAGCAATAAAATATTCGCGAATTGTAATCAATTTTTCGACAACTTCCATTGTTCGAGATTATAACAAAATATATCTTTTATTTTTGCGTTATTACACGAAGACAGACGAACTAGAACTATTAAATAATTCTTGTTTCGGTATGTGGGTTACACGAATTACTATAGCACCTTATGTTGCGTGAGTATTTATGCTTTCTTTCAGTCACGTATGTATACGTAACTGTTCATAGCCATAGCTTCGTGAATTATTATGTACTCCGGGATGGCAATTTTGAATTCTGCCTTCGCGAATTAACTCAATTGTTCAGTTCGCTCCTCGTTTTCTAGATATATTGAATTCAGATCACAGGAATTGTGTTTATAGCAGTTGGCACTGTGATCTTAGTGGTTTACAGTGACTATAATAATTTTATGGACAGATGGTTTTTCGCGGCACCAGTATTAATGATAGTAGTGGGAACCATCGTGTTTATTATATCATTCTTTGGTTGCTGCGGAGCAGTCAAAGAGAATCACTGCATGATAATAACGGTAATAAACGTTATTCGGTACTCTGCACTTATACGATTTTCAAAAATAAGCACGATTTATGCTCACATCTATCTTTCTCTGACAGTTTTCCGTATTACTCCTTTGTATCTTCGCACTGGAACTTGGTGCCGGAATCGCCGGTTACATGATGCGTGGAGAAGTTCATTCGATGGTCGAAAACCGATTGAACACTACTATATTAGAGTACTCTAGCAAGAACGATATACGTAAATCTTGGGACATTATGCAACACGATGTATGTACATCATTAGAGTGGTGCACATTTACTAACTACTTATTTCCCATCTAATAACGCAGGAGTCAATGTATTAATTATTATTAATTTGAATTTTAGTTAGAATGTTGCGGTATGAACGGTCCGTCCGACTGGTCCACTTCCGGATCGTTCGCAGAAAATAACATCCCGATCTCTTGCTGCAAGGAAGTACCGGAAGGAAGTAAATGCGACGTCAACTCAATTTCCATACATTCAGAAGGTTGCATGAAAAGTCTTCAGAAAGCTATCGAGCGCAACGTTTTAATTTTTGGCGGCGTAGGCATTGGCATCGCTATTGTTCAGGTAAATCTTGTCTCCCGTGTCGATTTATTACGATCCCATTATATGCAAATTAGTATAAGGCCAATTATCATAATTAAATTTTCTTTTTCAGTTAATGGGAGTGATCTTCGCATGCTGTCTAGCACGTTCGATTCGCCGCGAGTACGAGACTGTGTAAGCAGGCAGATATCTCCAATTTTAATGCCTAAAATCTGCACTAAGACTTCAAAATGCTCCTCTTTATTTTCCTTCACTGTTACACATTCATGCGTATACTCTTCCTTTGTCTTTCTTTGAGTAACAGAGTATTGCACAAATTGCACATTATATATATGTTCATCATACTGCACAAAACAAACGTATAAAAAGTTGTTTCTACAATGAACTGAATTGATTGATTAATCCCGATATTAGTGGTAATTTTTTTATATGAAATAACCACACGTATTATTACTTCATTGTCACTAATCAACTGCTTTTCGCTACTTCTACGTATTACTATTATCGTAATTAATTGATATTAATACTAATGATGGTGATAGTAAGAGTAGTATTAAAAAGCAGACATCAGTTTGAACTTCATATTTCGTCGGTCAACGTTTTATATGAAATCAGTCTTTGCTAATCTCGATTTTTATATGAAACAGAAACAAGTATTTTTGTGCAGTACCGTGACTTTTATGACTGTTCCTTTAAGACTGATCATTTTTATTCTACGCTAACCAAGAAGAATCTAGAAGCACTTTGTTTACAAATTGCACGCTGAGATTTAAGAATTATATACGCCAAAAATGATACGAATATTTATGTTAAGACTTCAGTATTGGACACATGAGTATTAATGTGTTCTTCATGATATTTATAGTCTTGTTGTGAAAATGTAACCGCGAATAGAAATGTACGTTACTCAGCCTTCATTTCGTTTCGAACACTATATTATAATTACCACAAAAATGATTGAGCTTTCAGTGTTAAATAGTTTTAGTTTCGTTTCATTGAATTTAAGTTTAAACACATTTCTGTTGAAAGTTAACGCTATAACTGTTTAGATTTTTGTATGGTATTTTTAACGCATTCTGTACGAATGTGTAAATAAAATATTTAAGAAAGGAAAATACCAAACAAGAATGTGTGAAATATAAATGACAGAAAATTTTAATTAACACGTTATATTCGTATATAAAAAAATATTTAAAAGGCATCATGGTCAAATCATCAAGTAGAGTCAAGTTAACAGTCCTAAAATTGCTGCATTTATTTTGACCATTTACATATTAAACATACATTTGTTAATGTTTTTGGACTTGATGTTTACACCATTATGCCTTTTATTCAATTAAACTTTCTTTTATACATACACACATATATAAATACATATATATGTGATAAATAAATTAATGCCGTCAAAATATGATCTATTCTATTTATGTAAAAAATAAAAAGAAGTATTCTATTGTTCATATAAAGTTTACATGATGTTGGAATAATATAAATTATTGATTACGATCAGTAAATTTAATATAATTATATGATTACACAGTTGTGTAGTGAAGAAGTAGTCGAAGGCAATTTTATATTGAAGTTTTATATTTTAATAATATGTCTTCTGCACTAATATGAGTTAAATATTGTTAATAAACAACTGTGTTTGATTACTATCGATGCTGTATCATTTTCTAAAAACTTGAAGCTACGCTTTCCATCATCTGGACGTAACACGTTAAAATTGATGTAGAAAAAAGGGAAACTAGGTATTTGCTTTCGTTGGATTGGGAATCCAAATCTTGGAAAGCGTAAATTAAATGACTGTGCACCTTCTCGCTTTGCCACAAGAAGCATTAAATGTATGTAATCAACCAGCAGCTGCGCGTAGACACAGACATTTTAATTAATTTCTAATTCCAGCGAGACCGCAGCGCACTGATTCGACAACCGATAGGAGGCATTATAAACTAAATATTGTTCGTCGTGCATTCGTTAAGAGAATAATTCTAGAATCGTCGCAAGACCGTATTTTACTTAGATTCCGGCTGCAGAGTAATCAATGTCGATCTGCATCCTAACTTAAGAATATAAACGAACTATTGGAGATTGTAATTAAACATACTGCCATTATCTGCCAAATGGTCGAGACCAAGCATCTCTTTTGTACGTTTTGGAATTAAAAGCTTATATGGCATAAGGAGATTGTTTAAAAAAGAGATTGGAAAACAATCTTATTTTTGTCTTGCTATTCGTTGCATTTGAAAAAGATGAAAATTCTTGTTCTGATTGATTTCTTTACTAGGAAGGAAATTCTTATTCCGTGCAACAATTTTTATTTGTCTCAATTATATCGTATTTTTATAAAATACGCTTTTGATACACACATGGAGCTGGACAGAAGTCTTTTTTCTCAAATATCAAGCTCAACTTAAACGACTAGTATTTTATACATCATTTTTATATAATTTTTATTAACTTATTAAGCATCAATAAGAATGTGACTTATAAATTTTATGAACGAACAAATAACAGATACAAATCAAATACGTTATATCGTCGAGATTGCCTTTATCCAGCTCCGAGTATCGAAGAGATTAACAAACATGGTATACAATAAATAAGATTACTTTTTATTGAAGGAAGCAAATTTCGTGGAAGATAATAAAAGCTATTATTGAACACTTTCGTGAAAAGATAATTTCCGTAATTGTTTAGTTATAATTCGCATAATCTCAATATTAATGATCAATGAAGAATACTTCTGGTGCGTTAAAGAAAATTATTGAACATTTCAGAAGTAGAATTATATGTGTATGTACGTGTAGATATTTAACAATTTCAAGATATTAATTATATGTGTTTAAGATCTTTGATTCGTGATTCAGTAGCTAAATAATTATATGTTGGGACCAAAGCTTTATATTTTTTAATCAGGAAATTAAAAATAATTCAACAAACAATAATATCGATATACTAATAAGAAATTTGGCGTCGACAGATCTTTTCATTTTGATTAAATAGAAAACAGCTTCCAAAAATTATATGAAGTACAAAATTCCATCTACGGCATTGCGTCGATTTGACAAATTTTTATTGTAATTACAGTTCTGCTTTTTCGTCGGAATTGAAATCTCGCATATTTCAATAAGGAAAAGAGGAAAATTAAAACTGCGAATAATAGTTACCAGTTTAATAATAACTTACGTTCTTTGGTACTTTTCACTTATATCAGGGCTTCTTAAACTATGGGTCGCGACCCCAAATGGGGTCGCGTAGCAAAATTTTGACGACTGTAATGGTAACTCGCAATCATAAATGGGGTCGTGAATAACAAAAGTTTAAGAAGCCCTGACTTATATGAATAAAAACCAGAGATCATTGAATTACTCCACTGAACGAAGAACATTTCGTTTTATAAACCGATATGTTGAGTAATTTATAACTTGTAACTTCTTCACGTTGCAGTAAATTATAATTATTTAGCAGGACAATCACGTAAGTAGAGGAATAACAAGACGATAAGCGAGGTTTCAATGTGTTTCAAAATAACGAAGACTCACGTGGGAAATACACGTGTGTCAAGTCAATAGATAATACCGAAGCATAAATGCGTGCCTAATTTTTGCAATGTGTCTAAATCATTTATTTAGAAATAATCGAAGCGATTAATTTAAATAAATTATCGATTAAAACGAATAAGAGAATAAGCACTTAATGTTCGCTAAGCTAAGCAAATTGATACGTGGTAAGCGTTTACTATTATCTCCTTCATTTTGTTAGCTTATTCCATGACAATCTTTGTTTTAATTTCCATTTTTCGAAATTCATTTTTCATATCTGCTAATTTTCTAAGTCGTCTACTGGCCTGTTTCATTTCTAAGATTTTTACTCTTAGTTCGGGATTTTACGTAGCAACCCTTTAATGTGTAACGTTATTTAAATTGTCTAAGTGTGTAGTTACATAGAATGTTCGTCTTGAATGAATTTCAATTGTACAATGCATTTAATTTTAAATCGTATTAGATTTTACACGCGACGGTACGTACGTATATTAGATGCTAAAACGTTAAGACAAGATCTTTACATTGGATAAGAAACGTTCTCATTTAATAATAATATTTAGGTAATTTCGTTAAAACGAAAGGAATATTTGAAATTGATAGCGTTCGTAATGAAAATAAGAAACATTTAATTAAATGTTGCGTTGGACGATTGGTTAGCAAAAAGACTGATAACAATGTAATTAAAGAATGAGGAAGAAAAAAGCAGAATCAGTATTAAATGAGAAGTAAACGTATTGCTCTTTTCATGACGTTTTAATCGTTTACAATATTTTTCTACTAGTAATTTAATTCATCAATTAATATATTATTAATGTTCTTTAGAAGCTGACCACTTTTAGCACATCTTGTCCATATAGCTTTTATCTATATAAATAAATATATATTAAGTAAACAAACCATAGTTCGTTCTTATATCTTAATTTAATATCAAAGTGGAAATGATTTATTGGGAAATGCTAAAATTGTTTATGTCTCTACTTTGTTTGCGAAGGAATATCATCGAGAAAACTGAAAATGGGAGCAGTCATTTGAAAGTGGGCGAATAAAAATTCTGTACGATCAGACTTTCTTTTTTATTTTGTTCTATAATTCCCTTATAAGATTAGCAGACTAACATTCATTAATCATATAGGATGTTCTCTTCTAGCGTCTTAAAACTACTCGAGGAAAATAAAAAGAAACAAATTCACAGAGGGAAGAATAGGACAGAAATCCGTTTAAACGATCTTTAAATTAGCGATAATATTCCTGCTTTATAAAAGTTACAAATTGATTTATAGTTAGAACATCTTGAAAACAATAAAAAATGTCCCTCCTCCCGACAATCGATCCAAAAGGATCGTTTAAACGGTTTCCTTCACAAAACGTTCATGAAACACCGTTCGTTAAAAATGTTTTTCATTTTTTTTTAAACATTTAATTACAAAAAGAGCAAATTCTATGCGTGACCTATGTACAACTTTAAGGGTCCAAAAGATTTGTAGATCGATGTTTTTTTTATCAAGAACCTTACAGAATATATTTACAAGAATCTCAACGACAGCAATTTCAATCAAATGAGAAACGAAATTCCTTTTGCGCGATAGCTATAAACTGTACATTAACGTATGGATGAATGTGATCAACTAAAACACTACAATGACAGTTTGTAGAAATTCTTTTATCAGTTCTCAATGTTCTACTGATGTTAATTTCATTCGGTACAGTAATTATATTAGCAATGAATCAACATTTGTTTTACAGTAAACAGTTTTGCCTACAGATATTTCATTTTCCAGCAAAATTAATTGATTTGTATAAAAAAGTAATTCGTATAAAATCTGTGTAAAAAGTTTCATAAGTTGATTGACTGGCTCTAGTTCTCGAACCGAGAAACAGTCGATACAAATTTGATAAAAATGATGGACTGCGACTTTTTCTTATCGTTAACATAGAGAGAATTATGTTTATTTACAGTTAGAGCGACTTTAAATTTACGGGCCCGATTAGTAAAGTTTGTCCGTAATCACGCAGATTGGTCGAAATTAATTCAGTTCTTAGCGGCGGTCGTCATTATCAAACGAACGTGATTACACTTGACACAGGAAAATCGATATTAGCGTAGACTTGACAGTCTTAAGTAATGTCGTTTCGCGACTCGTACTTCATGGAAATTATATGAAAAGAATACAAAAAGATTTAAAGGGCCTCTTAAAGATAACTACAAGCCTAATTACTTACAAGTCAGATTATTCGTATTGTTCATAATATTGCCTAGCCTATCAATATTATTCGGTACCGTCGATAGGACGATGTACCACTTTTAAATACCGTTTCGTCGCGAATCTTTTCAGAACGAACAAACGAACAAGACAAACGGAGATTGAAAAGAAATAATGAGAAGCCCTCAATTTCACCCTTTCACCCTCAAGTTTAACTTCTACAGATGGAAAAGAAGACAGGAGAAGAACAAGTCCCTTACTTGCTATAACTATGAAAATTGATATTATACGAGTTCACAATTTCAGTTAGTCGCATTACTTTGAAGGATTAATTAGTTCCAGCCTTGGAAGACACGCGTTGTACACAGTAACCTTCGTTTTAAACAAGCGTCGGGCAGTTCTACGAATTGATATTTTCTCTATAAAAAATATTAGCTTCTCTTGTCTCAGTCAAATACTTCTACAATTCTATAGTAATTTAATTTGCGCGAAATAATACACGATGTTGCTATAAAAATGTTAACCGATCGATGCGTATTTATAAAAACGATTTATTATGAAAGAGACGATATACTATTATGAGCTCTGTTAAAGATTTCGTTCATTAGTTTACAAAAATAAATATTTATAAAGGAAATATAATCACGCGAGGCATACTGAAATATCTGTACTAAATATACGTTCTTATGATATAATTAGTGAACGGTGTTCTCCGTCAATGATAAAAATATATTCAGGAAGATGTGAACTCAGCCTGAAGAGCTGCCGGGTGAAAAAGAGAGTTGATAAGGTTGCACATGCACGCGACATTCATTCATCTTAGGCACATTTACATACTCGATATAAAAGCACATCACAATGATCGTGTCAACGATCTCGTTAGAGTCTTTCACTTAAAGCAAACCTTCGATAGATGTACATACACGTACGATAAGTTTCCGAAGGTTCGGAGAATCTGATTCTGTGATTATTCGAATGATCATTCTGTATTTACTAATCGTATTTCATCGGAAACACAATTTGAACGTAAATGAAAAGTAGTAAAAAGTAATCGAGTCCCTTCAGAATTCATTAAATCATCGTATAACCGATCGACTTCTCAAGTTCTCTTTGTTACTAGTCATCTTTCATGATCTCGTCTAGCCTCGAACTACGTTTACCAGTTTTCAACTTTAAATCGTTCAACAGCTAATGTAATGGATAATAACAAATATAAACTGATCATGTGTCTCAACAATCGAACAAAACTCGTCTAATTAAAAATGAGAATATAAAACAAAGAATTCATTATTTTTCTTTTAATATGATTAACTTGACTTAATATGATTCACTGAAAATGATTCGAGAAATACCACATCCAAACAAACTAAACTCACAAGTAACGTTCGAGTAATCGAGAAACTTTCATTCGTTTAATTAATTTATTAAGAATAATTGATCGGTCCGAATAATCAAAATTTTTAATGTAGTTAAACGAGCTCCTTTATATGAGCGTTCTTCGGTTTGAAGGAACGAGGACAATTTTTTTCTTAAAAAAGAGAGAAATCATTCATGTGGCGTAACGCTTAGTCCACAGCCGCGCTATACGGTCGTGCTCTTCCCTATTTTGTAGATATTGCGTTGCTATACTTCCTACTAAGGGATCCGCTGGAACGTTCAACAATATGTAAATCCCTTATCTTGTTTTTACTTTCGAAAGGCTTTAGCTAATTGGCATCATATTAAACTACACGTGCATATGATAGAGCTGATAATTACTACACGAGCGTTGAAGGTTGTAGTATCAATGGTAATTTTCATCTTACCTGGATTACAGTCAGTCAAAAGGGAACAGATGGATAACAGAACTTTCGAAATGGTTAGCGCAGGAGACCAATTATCCTTTAATATGTCCAAGCATATTACACCTTGGCTGTTGATGTTACAGTGGTAGATGCGTGTCCGGAATGTTACCTGAAATTGTTAAAAAGGTGATGCTACGAAGAAAGAAGTCAGAATAAATAAAAATAAAGACAGACAGAATATACTATGAAAGCAAGTACAACATGAGTATGTAATTAAAGATAAATAATCGCCGCCTTTAATAGTAGAAAGTAGACAGTTCTAAATAATTGTATTACTGTCGTACCTTTGGAGGTTTGAATGGATATTCTGGAGAAAAGTGTATATCTAGGAAAAATACTCCTCCTTCATAGACTGATCCAGGAGGTCCAAGTATTGTTGATACCCATTCATATAAATTGTCTCCCTTAGGTCCTGCACTGTAAGATAAATATCATAGAAGAATTATAAGATGTTGAACAATTTGAACAGAAAATAGTTAATGGTACCTGCAATTTGGCGGTGGGTCTAATGTGATCTCTGCCAATTCTTTTTGTATCCTGCGACAAGAAGATTAGTTTAAACTCTCGTTAAGTCTCCATGGCAGAGCTTTTTTAATTTTGGATGATGGGTGTGCTACCTTTTGGCGGATGTTCCTAAAGCTTTAGACATCTTTGGATTCGGCTTTGCCTCCTTGCTCTCTGGCTTATTGTCTGCCAATGAACCACGCCCCCGGCTAGTTCCACTGGAACCTGCGCCTGATGACATGGTTCTAAAATTCATTTAAATAACATAATTGATATTTGTCTGAAATAACAATAAACTGTCGTTGAACAGATTAAGCCATATTTAAGTGAGCACAAAAAGTATACAAACCACAAAGAAATATAACAAACCTTGTGTCTTTGACTGTGAATCCCAAGAACTTCTCACAATAAGACACACAATAGGGGAACACTTTTAATATTAATAGTAGTCTGTCCACATCAAATAACACTGATTGAACAATTTTCACCTAGAATTTAAATAAAAACAGAGAAAATAGTGTTAATGAACTTTAATTTTATTAAATGACAATATTAAAATCTATTTTTCAATTGTACTGTTTACCATCATTGTGTATAAAAGTTTTAAGAGTAAATAACGTTAGTAATATAAGGTTATATGTTTCAAGTCATCATCAATTAATGCTTCAAGAATTAAGCAAGTGATAATTAATTTATGCAAATGAGATCAACATATAATGGATCCGATACATAAATTAGACAATTCTCTTCCATATATTACGTACAAACAAACGTTAGATAAGTAATTCAAACACTCTCAATAAATGATTTCAACAGAACTGTTGCTGTTCACGAAACAACAATCTCACAGAAAAAAAATTAATCAACACCCGCAGTTTCGACATTGCTAACGAAACGAATTGGTAAGCCATAAAAAAGGAACAAATAAAAAATTGTCAAAAAACGAAATACATATATACAAATACGCGAACGTTCACAGAATAAATGCTAATGTATTTGTTAACTTACAACTAATTTAACATACAAAATCGTTGTAACATGTTACCCGTACTGGTTAGAACGATTTAGCGGTCGAACAACAAAAGATCGTATAGTAAATATTAATAATTTCTGGTTTGAAAGGAGCATAGCACAGAACCATTCATGATTCAAAGGAAGAGGTGTGTTACCTCGTTGGTAGAAAGGGTAGCCTCTCTCGATTGTTTCAGGACGAAGTTTAGGAGCAAGGATCGAACCTATGTAGTAAATCCCGAGTGAAATGGCCGAATCCTTTGTAGGACGTACTGTTTCTAACGAACGTAAGTCCTTAGGTACTGCTGTGCAGGCTGGCGGGCTTCATCGTCGCTCTCATGTCCCGAAGTCACGATCGCGGCGTCTCTTTTCCCTCGGCGAGCGCCGAAACGTGCGCATCTCTGCGTCGCCGGATGTTGACTCTGTCGCCGCCGCGGCGGACGTCGGTAGCCGACGCTTTTAGATGGACGCACTGTCGCCGCAATTATCTAGAATCATACCAATCACTTCCCAGACTTCTCATTAATTCCCTACCGTCACTCTTCCTTTTTCTTTATCAAATATTGAACTATATCGCATATGACATAAAGTTAGATCTCCTTCCAAGTTAAATATATACAATATTCGTGTTCAGAATATACGGAATACGATAGTAATTGTTTCCAATGAATTTTCTACCATTATTCTCCACATTTGGTGCTCACTGCTAGGTTAAGCTACATTACTTTAGATTGAATCCTTCTACATGATAAATATAGATTTAATTATATCAAATACTCAAAATAAATCCTTCTCTATTTTTCCTTGCTTCTCTTTTCTTAGTGTTGTATCATTTAATATAGAAGAACGTCTTTGTTTTTAATACATTTGATTATGTATGTATATGTGACTGATAGATAATTCGAAATTTCAAATTTCAAATTAATAGTCGATACATCGAAATCTATTATTGAAAAATCGATATTTTCATTTTAGAATAACATTTCTCATTTATAGTTCTTTTCCTTTTACTATTAACAATGTTTATTTCACAGTTTTTAATGTAAATATTGTAATATGAAAACTACTTTATACTAATTATTATTCCTGTTCATATTTTTCTATTCGATCCTAATAGGTAAAGCGATATTGGATTCATCATTATTATTATTAAATTAATTTAAATAACAATTTCAAAAAAAAGCATTATCAAATGATTCACCTATAAAGGGGAAAAACATTGATGATGATTTACGTGATCTTTGATCGCACGCTTTCCGATAAGCATCCCGTTGCGCAGAACATTTACACACAAAGTGAACGAAGTATTTATAAGTCTCGAGACGCATAAAAGATGCAAAAATTAATTTATAGTTTATTCCTTCTGTTTTATACTTGTATTGCAGGTAAAGTTAAACTTACGTTACTTCCTATATTTTACGCATTTAATAAATCCATTGTGATTTAATGATTAGTTAAAATCTCAGTTAATCTAATTCACTATTCATTTGTAATAAATAAGTAATAAAATATGTTTCATTTCTTATTGTTAGCTGAAGACGATGATTGTCCTAATATTATCACACGTGATAAGTGGACTTCCGTGCCGTCAAGGAACGTAAACTATTTAATTGCTCCCATTCCTTATGTTATAATTCATCATACAGCTACTCAAGGATGTAACACCAAAAGTGCATGCATTGATGAAGTCGAAAGTATTCGCTCATTTCATATGGACGCTTATTCGTGGAACGATATCGGATACTCTTAAGTATTTCTTTTTAAATACTACTTTTAAATACTATTTTAAATACTAATATATATATATAAATTTCTATATAACTACTATAAATTAATCTAAATGATTATTTCAAAGGAAGCATATTATCAAATGTTTAATTTATTTTATTCTGTATTCATCATGAACTTTTTTCTATATTTCAGCTCTGAATGATAATAAATAAAATATATGAATAGAACAATTTGCTTATTGTCTCTTTAATTCAACAGATTTTTAATTGGGGGAGATGGAAATGTATACGAAGGTTGTGGCTGGAATCGAGAAGGGGCCCACACATATAGATACAATAAAAAATCTATCGGAATAGCTTTCCTCGGAAATTATCAAAGTACTTAATACTCTAGTTTTCACTTTGTAACGCCTATACGTTTAATCTTTTTGACATTTATTTTATTATAAATCTATTGATTTTTCATTCAGCGGTCAATGCAAGTGATGCAATGGTGAATGTAGCGCATAAGCTAATTCTTTGTGGCAAGGCGCAAGGAATACTTAAAGAAGATGTTCGTGTACTTGGAGGTAGACAACTGATTTCAAGTTTGAGCCCAGGAGCAAAACTTTACGATCAAATTCGAAATTGGCAGGAATGGTCTTCTTCGCCGTAGTTTTATTATATATATGTGTTATGTATCCCTTTTATTATTAATTATTGAATATGATTCTTGTGAGAACGTATAATTAAAAATTTTATTATATACATAGAAATTTTTGAATTATATTAGTATATTGTACACTTATTAAAATTGCGTATCATATAAATTTTTCTCATATTGTTATGATTATTCTTTCTGAATGTTTTAAAACTTACGTCACGTTGACAATAAGAAGAATTGGGAATTATGTAAAAAAAAAAGCCAATGATGCATCCTGTTGAATGCATGTGTTTACGATGACAAAAAGAGCATGGATATATTTACCATTTCTCTTAAAAAGAACAACGTAGGAGGAAGAACTGGAATGCAACCAGCCTACCTTGAAAACTGGCACGTATACGCCAAATATATTGACCTCACGCCTTGTTTAAATGCTTTCGCAAAAAGACGGGTCAAATAAGATATTTGAAAATTTCCTTTTCTCACCTTTTGACTCTTGTGTCTCTTCATTTTTCTATCCAGTAATTATTTTATTCTAATTCTTAGATTCCTTGCTTGAATGAAACAAAGGGAAACTGTACGTAAATATATGGTGCAAAACATACGTGTCGAACAATACATTGTGAGTTCATAAATAATATATAATTATGTACATATGTTAGACGGAAGATTCTCTTGTGTGTATAAGAACGGAATTTAAATATTGTTTATAGTTAAACGAGACATTCGACATCGAGTCATTATATGCGTAGCCTGAACACTTTCAACTTTATTTCTTCGTATTTGCGTTTGAAGATGCGTATATAAGACCGATTCAGGCCGTGTGATCTCAGTTCTCAAGATGCTGCGACTGGAATACTTGGTAACTAAACGAATCTACTTTATTTTTTCACTTATTTGCGTGCAAAAAATAGCGAATTTTTTTTACAAAACTTTTATATTCATTTAAGAACATTTTATCATTTTTATAGATCTTACTTTTCTTATGGATAGTCTTTGTGACTTCCGCAGAAGATTCTTTACAACCCGGTGAAGTAAATGTTGAACCAGCTTCAGATGCTAGTGCTAATGACTTAGATGCCGATGCAAGTTATTATTATGGGTAAATTTGAATAATTCATTAACATGAGTCTTTGATAAAAGTCATTCTTCATGTCAAGAATGAAAGTACGCAATATTAACGAGATTGACAATGATAAATTAATGAAGGAAAATCTTTTCATGTGTGTACTACGGTATTCATGAGTATAATATTACTGGCATCCTTAAAGGTATTCTAGACCATGGCGTTATGGATGGAACAGTGGTTGGAATGGTTGGGGTGGACGGAGAAGCGGTTGGGTCTGGAGTGGCAGAGGATGGTCGGGAAGAAGTGGCTGGTGGTAAAAACGCGAGGAAGTTTATGATTTAACGAAAAATAAAAAACTACTCACTTGTACCGATTTATGCGAAAAGGATGTCAATAAAGAAACAAAATTACAATATACAAAATTGAGCAAAATTTATTACCTTTGTTTAACTGAACAATTATGTACTTTATACAAAAATCTTATAATACGATACAGCATGTACGAGACATTACACTAGCTACAGTAGCGTTAATACATTATAAATGAATAAGTAAAGCATTCACGGCTTTAAATTCAGTTTCACTACTTCTTGACGTATGACGGAAATTAGTTCTTGGTTTATTAGAAATATGAACCTTAGACCTGCAATCTAAAAGATATTCAAAATATAATATATACATTTTTTACTTTTACTATATGCTTTAGATAATGACATGAAAAATTGTATCAGTACCTCAATTACGCTATTATTATTAAGTTTCATTTTATTCCCTGCGAGAATAGGTCTACTATCTACAAAAATCGGACGTTTCCCTTCTGAAGAAAGAAAGAAATCTCCATTATTTCTTAAACGAATTGTCCCTTGCCTTCGTGAAACTTTCCAAGCTGGTCCTTCCAATGATAAGTCCACGTCCACGTTATGATCTTTCGTTGAACGACCTACAGTAATCTAACAAAATTACATAATTCAATATAGAACTGTTAACAAGAATAAAATGTGATTAAAGGTAAAGTATCTTGAGAAAATTACCTCCCGCGATCTCATCAAATACCTAACAAGTCTCCCTCTAAGTATTGCTAAAGTTTGATTATCAAAGTCTGGTGGATTTACACCAGTTACACTGTCAACTAGAACTTGCCACCTACTTAATTCGTTCTCTAACACTTTTATCTCCCTCTTATTTCTCCTATCTGCTGCAACGAGCTCTGCATCTACCAACTCATCTTTTTGTTCAATTAACTCGGTGTCATTGATCATATCTTCAGCGTCAGAAAAATTGAGAACGTGTTCACCGCGCGGCAGACTTTGTACAGTTTGATCAGGAAGTAGGTGGTATTGTTTCATCAACTGCCAGTGAGCCATTAAAGCTTTCGCAGTTCGAGCAGAATAAAATGTATGGGTGTTTGCTTCAAGAAGTTCTTGGAACACTTCTAACGTTGGCTGAGACGTCTAATAAGAAACAAGATTTCCTTATATAAGGAATCTATATGAAGTTACATATTCTTGACACATATTGCTAATTTACCGATTTTACTGTACCCAGCAGATCTTCCTCTGGTTTACTATATAAAGTTCTTGCTTGGACACTAGCAATTAATTCAGGGTGTAAATTTCTCATTGCCTGAACTGCTACTCGTGAAACTGCGCTGTCATACAATAAAGCGTACCACCTTTGTTGTATTTCTTGCAATGTGAATCGACAAGAAAACTTTGTACCTCTATGAACCTATTATAATAAATTTGATGATTTTGTTTTAATATAGTAATAAAGTTCATTTGTTATATAGTTTTATACTAAATTAAGTTTAATAAATATGGATACCATTCTCAAATCATTTGTTTGCTGTACACCAGTAATTAGTGCCAAATCATCTGTTGGTTTCCACCTTCCCAAATCCTTTGTTGCATTCACTGAATGTGAATGATTTTTATTTCTCTTGTTTTTTCTACCAGGAGCATTCGATGCCCCTGGTCTACTTGTTCGTCTATTACATTTGTCTGATTGAGTGACATTTGTAGAGACTTGAATTGGACTTGGTACATTTTGTTGTGGGATAGCAGATTCCATTGGGGTAGTAGAAATCGAAACAGTTCTAGATCTGGAGGCAGACTTTGTACTTGTAGCTGGTGGTTGCAAATTGAATGTTGTTTCGACAAGTTCATCGTCAAACTTTCTACGCTTTATTGTACGTGAGGAGCTACAAGTTTAATGAAAATAACATTAAATACCTTTTCAATTTCATGTTTCTTTTTAGTATTTCTACTATTTAACTGATCGATTCATATCAGCTATAAAACGCATATAGAACATTAATATGCACCTTCTCCGTTTTGTTGACAATGGATCTAGATTTGGAGATTCAATAGATATATTCAAAAATGCATCGTTATTATGAGAAAATCCATGATTTACATTTGAAGGAGTCGGAATATCCATAATTTTTTAGGTTACTTTAAAGTAAACAAGTAATTACGATAGCGTAGAAACGAATTATGTCATTGCATGATAAATGGTCCAACTGAGACAATTTAATACTACGATTTGTATTGATTAATTACGTTAATAATTAATATTTACTCAAATAATTGAACTGTTTTGCACTTTATCACTTCACGTATCCTAAAACAAACATGTATATACATGTGCAGCAATCGCAATGAGTACGAATAGCTGCCAACGTAACAAAAAGAGAGCTCCTGAACTCCTGACCTGACTTACAATAATATCACAATCCCAGCCAACCATCTGCCTGCAGATTGCCGACAGATTGCCGGCAGATTCTGCCCTCTGGAGCAAAGTCTGCAGACAGATTGCCGGAAAGTTGCGTCCGCAATATGCCGGCAATTTTCCGGCAGGCCTGCCACCAGACCCTGGCCGCAGAATGACTGCAGGCCCTGCCGGCAGATCTGCTATCAATCTGGCAGCAGTTTGCGACAGGCACTGCCGGCCGATCTGCTATCAATCTGGCGGCAGTTTGCGACAGGCACTGCCGGCAGATCTGCCATCTATCTGGCGGCAGAAGCGCATCAGACGTGACATCAGCCGCTGGCGACAGAATAACTACAGATTGACTACAGATCCCGTCGGCAAATCTGTCATCAATCTGTAATCATTCTGCCGTCAACCGTGATAGCATATCTGCCGCCAGAATGACGCCAGATTTCTTGTCAGAATGACAGCAGTCTATCGTACATTATGATAAAATTCTGTCAAATATTATTGTATAT